CCATTTCACATTAAGAAAATATTATGATTAGCATTACAGTTAATAATAACAATCATCCCTGCCTGCAGGGATGATTGTTATTTGATTGTTAATTTGATTTGCACTGAGCTGCACCTTAAAATGTTACTACACTGTTTTGCTGCTAACATGCTGCTGACCTGATTAGGTCCCATACTTCCCTTTTTATTTGTTCATATTGACTTATACAATTGTGTGTAAATAATATGTCTGTTTTTTAAACCGAGAGCTGCCAGAAAAAATTTCGTTGTGACAATAAAGATGCTTGACTTGACTTGAGAAACACACACACACACACACACACACACACACACACACACACACACACACACACACACACACACCCACACAAACACACACACACAGAAAATATAGGTTATAATAACAATGTTTCAGAAGTCTGGATAACGAGCACAAATGTAGTAATGGGATGATTTTTAAATTAAGAGGTTAAATGTTTCATTAGTAGTAGTCATCTTTGGACACAGTAGACAACGGTTATATTTTGAAAAGCTGCAACCGGACGTCATACGTGTTATTTTATAAGTCCCAACTAGCTTGATAAGTGTGTCTTGCTTCCATCAGCACACGGTGAAAATACACAGGTAACGCTAAACACGTTAGCGAATTCAGTAACATAGTCGCTTCACTTGTATCGTGTTGATCTGGCATAACTTCAGTGCAGCGTGTGATCTGCCACTATCAGTCTGAGCGTGTAGCTGTTGCATTTACTATCACATATTTGCCAAAGTAAAGTTCAGTTCTAGTAGTAGCCAGTAGTACTAGCTGTTAGCACCGGATTAGCCTGGCTAACAATGTCAACTTGCATTAGGTATTTGCTTTACACTTTCTTGGCTATCTTAACTAATGTTGATTTACCAGCCGCGTTCTTTACAATTCAAGGTAAAACTTTAGGTGTTTAAACAGATACACGTATATTGTAGATGCTAACTGGAGTTTATCCACAGGAACACTGCTGAAATGTTTGCTGTTAGCTAAATAGCTAACATAGCTATTGTCGAGTCGAAGAACGTCACACCAGACTCCCTTTACAATCTCAAAGGTTTTGCTTTCCTTGTTGAGTGGCAAAACCACATACTTAATGTAAGGCTTGTTGTTAAATGCAGAATGAGGTATATTTTATTTCGTCTCGAAAGTTAAACGTTATATTTCACCTGGTCCGTGGCTTTATTATTAAAACGTTTTAAACTTGCTAAACTAATGTTAACATTACAGAACTAGATGGAAAACAGTTATGTAATAACGTCAAGCATCTCGCGTTATGCAATACATACATTTTAGGCATTTCTTTTGTTAAAAGGCGGTTTCTTTTCTCATATTGAGTGAACAACATGTAGCAGTGCAGTTAACTAGTTACATGTTTCGTATGTTTGCCATGGTCGGTTAACCAGTTGCAGAAACTACAGTGAAGTTGGTTCTGAAATAAGTTCGTCTGTTCGACTCCAGGCGGTTCATAATAACTTACATACTGCTATTCTCAATAGCAACACTGTCACGTTAACACTTGACAGTCTCCTAACTGGTTAACGTTGTTCCTTTTCGTTAGCTTATGCCAGTTAGCTTACAGGGTAAGACAGACTATCATTAACTTCCGCAAGTTACCTGTCTTTTGTGTAGTTATGTTGTGTAGCACAATTTGGATACCCGAACCAGCCAATCCCTGTTACCTAACTAAACAGAGACTGTATGACCCGAGAAACTGATGATTAAAAGTATATTTTTTCCTGGGCCAGACCAGATTATGTTTGATTCTGTATCGTTATGAGGAGGCGGGGAAATAACCTTCAGAATGTGGGTGAGTGTTATGAAACGACAGCACGGGGTTAAAACAAGTGGGTTCGGCAAATTTAAATTGCGAAAGCTCACGGAGAATGAGCTCTGTGACTGGAGTGTATGTAAAACACGAGTTACAAGCTGGGGCTGTGAGTAGACATGCTGTTTGCAGTGTAGCCATCCTTCAGTCTCAGGCACGTCATGGTGCTCCTGCCCCTGTAGTACACACTGGTTAACTTTTGCTGTCTGTTGAATGAGTGGTATTACTTTGTCATAGGGCAACAGCTGCAGTGATTGTAAAGGCTAAGCACATTCTAGAGATGTTGTATTTTTGACACTGTTGCCATTGCAAGCACGGCCCATCTGGATAGGCACTCTGTTGTACCTCTGTCCCGGTGCTGTTAGCCTGTAGCACATCAACACAGAGGGGCTGACAGCAAGTCTTTGTTTCCATACATAGAACCTACACAAAAGTTGAGACCTGATCCCTTTCTTCCATTGCTGACAGCTCTCCAGGCTAATGCAACAAATTGGCAGCACCTTCCCGTTGGCTGTTCCTACTGGGCATTGCAGATCTGTTTGGAATACACAAAGACAGGAGATTAGCACAGTCAGTGAGAGTGAAAACTCCAAATTAATTTGATCAAACCAGAACCTGACCAATCCTGACAGATGAAATTGTTTCAGTGATAACTTTCCAAAGTTGTCCTGTGATCTCTGCAGTGCTTTGGTGTCTGATACAAGGATAATACATGTAAGGCGGCTTATTCAGGTGACAGTGGTGCGGTGGGTAGAGCAGTCGTCTCCCAACCAGAAGGTTGAAGGTTCGAATCTTGGTGCCTCCAGTCCACATGTCGAAGTGTCCTTGGGGAAGACACTGAACCCCCAAGTTGCCCATGATGGCGGCGCGTATGAATGTAGCGGCCCAGGGCCTAACAAGATTTCATTGTACATGTTACAATGTCAATAAGATAAAGCTTCTAACATTAAGATGCATAAATTATTAAGTAAAATAAGATCCAGTATTAACAAAAATATACCACCGCGAACTAACGCTAAATTAGCGCTGGAGGAGCTGTGCTGCCTGATCAGAAGGCAAATGAACGCAAACCCAGAAGCGGCTGTGATTGTGGCTGGAGACTTTAACCATGTGGAACTTAAAGCAGTGTTTCCTAGATTCTACAGATTAATCAATTTTCCAACCAGGGACAATAACATCCTGGGATCAGGTTTATTGCAATATCCGGGGAGCATACAAGGATGGTTAGAGCCATCGGTTGAGTTGGCGCCGCAGATGGCTGCCATCGGTTCTGTACCGGAAAGAAATTCCTTGTGTGTAACATACTTGGCCAATAAAGGTGATTATCCTTATCTCCTGTGATCTGATCACATATCATGTCTCACTGGAACCGGAAGCAACACATGGGGGCGGCTGTGACTCAGGAGGTAAAGCGGGTCGTTTCCTAACCAGAGGATTAGCGGTTTGATTCCCGGCTTGTCCAGTCAACATGTCGAAGTGTCCTTTAGCAAGACACCGAACCCCCAGTTACTCCCGTGATAACACCGGTGTGTGAATGTGTGAGCGTTTCTGAGTGCGAATGGGTGAATGCCAAGTAGTGTGAAAGCGCTTTGAGTGTGTTGTAAAGCGTAGAAAAGCACTATACAAGTATAACACCATTTACATGCACACTACTGCATTCTCTTGCTTTTTTTTTTTTTTTTAATAATTATGGTTTGCTCTGCATTTCTAGCGTGTGATTGGGACTAATGGAGACAACGGGAGTTTGTGAGATTGGTGTGGACTCTAGAAGAATAGTGGGAGGCAGTGAATCTCCACCCAACCTGGACAGCCCATGTCAGGTAAACATCAGCAACATGTTGTTTTGTGCGGTATTTTGTTGACGTCCTCTTATTTGTCATGTCATTAATGTTATGGTTATGTTTTAATATTTCTGCAACTTGCAAGTGGCAATATTATACCCTTTTGTAATAGGGTTACAATAACATTTTCTTGACCAATATCAAAACAGTAGTTAGAGAGAGAGCAAGAGAACCCAATGTAATTTGGATGATGTTGCAAAGCAAACACATTTTTTGTTTGTTTCAGTGGGTTGAAATCAAGACCTGTCTGATCAAGGAGTTCTGTGTCAACAAGATTACAAAGTTGATCAGATATTTTAGTACTGTTCAGTTTTTGATACTGTGCTCTGGACACATTTTAGCCAGTACCAAAGGTAGTTAGATTCTCTGCCTTAGAGTAGAATGGGCCTCTTTCAGAGAGGCAGCCTTTTACAGTAGTTTATCATGTGACTTTCATGTCTGAATAAGCATCCAGGTCACATTTACACATAAGTCACAACAACAGTCTTACTAGGTTAGTATAATAACGTATTCTTATCGCTTTCAACCCAACAGAAGCCAGTTGAATATCATTGGATTAATGTAAAGGCCGCAGCAGCACAAGGAGAAACCTGGAGTTAGAGATTAAATGCTTGTGTTGCAACATCATCATTTCTTATGTACAATGACACTTCAGTAAGATGTCAATAATGCTGCCATATGGACGGTGAAGGACAATAAGTTCTTCACTGTCAATGCTAACTAATCAGTTATCTAACCATATATATGGATTGGTTGTTTCAGGGTCACTGTCAGCGTTCTAGGGCAGTACTGATAAAACAATATTTTGGTCATGTTAACACCATCTTTTGACATCTGTCTAATCAGAACTTGTTAAGTATTTCATGTCTGAAAAGGGCTATAAAGATGAGGAAAGAAACCTCAGATGTCTTGGAAAGCTGAGAATGGGAAAAGTGAAGTAAATAACATTTCCCTGAAGCACCAGGTGCCTTTGAGGCATTATTAAGCAAGATGGTTGAAGGACTTTTTGGTTCTTCTTACCATTGCTAACTCTGAGAGACGAGACAGTCCAAGTAACTTCAAAACAGTGCTGATTTATTCAAAGGATCACAGGTAAAATTAACATTACACGCTCAGGTATCTTGCACCTCCAAACTGCTCGCAGGCAGATGTAAGATGAAAGACCCTGAACCCACCAGGCCTATACATTATAGCCCCTCGGTTGGGCTAGCCCCATACTACACAGAAACGTCAACCGAGACGTCTCTGTTACCAGCTTTGCAGCTGGTCATAGCAGTAGTCAAAACATGAAGCAAATCAACATGTGTGTGTGTCTGTTGATTAAGTGGTGTGTAGCTAAAAACATTCTCACATGACCTCTAGTGACATGCCATGACATTAAACATAGGAAATTAACAGGTCTATGACTCACAAAACACACACTGCAGCAAAACAGCACAACCCTTGACTGTTATAAAATATTTTACCTGGTGATTCTCACATGATCTCTCACAGCTTTTCTTTAAAACCAGAACAGAGAGACAACATAGTAGACAGGACACAACATAACTCGAACACCCACCCTTTTCACTGGTGCAGTGAGAACTGCCTGGTTGATAGAGTAGTCAGTGAGATGTTATAGCTGCTTTGTAGTCATTTAGTTGTGTGAGTGTGTGTTTACAGGAGGACATTGCAGAGTTTGGTTTGGGGTCGTGCTGCATTGAGGAGAGAGGGGAAACTCCAGGCAGAGAGGACAGTCCCGGCCACTTGGGGGAGGCAGAGCTTGACCCCAGAGGAGACCCCAAGACTAAGGCTGAAACTGGAGAGGACAAGGCTTTTGGTAGGAACACTACAATGTATCTTACACGCTTCTTATTACATAAAAGTGATGGTAAGTTTACATGTTAGCTTCATGTCTTAACACCCAAGTTATAGATCTGTTAACTTCACAACATTAGTCTTACCTATAACATTCGCTGTAAGAAATATACCACTTGCTATTAAGATGGATGAAGCCAGCAGTTTCACCAGGATTTGACTAGTTCTCCTAGATGGCAAGCTGGAACATCATTGTTTGTTTAGATATCCTCCATGCCTTTTTCTTATTCTAATGGAAGACCAGAAAAATGTTTGGGGCTGGTGGTGTTCCTAGTTTGCTTATTACTACTATTTTTGGGGGGACATCTAAATCATCAGTTTATATATTCCCTATCCAATTGTACTTGTCGTTTTCATTGCCATCACTTTTATAGAATTTGTATGGACATGAAGTTCTGCAAGTTCACCCATTAGTGAGCCACATTTTCGGATTCTGTCTCCATATTTGCTTTACATGATATTGTGTCAGATGTAGAGCACTAATAATGCGCATAAAAAATGTCTAGTCTTGCTTATGCCACTGAGTGAGCTTTGATGTTCACAACTGTTTAGTGTGGCAGCAACACCTATCCAGAAGGTATGCTTCAGACAGTACTGTAGTTTGAAGGAAAACTAAAATGCACCACTTTCTGTAAGAATAAAAGTTTTTCTTTCCATTTTGGTGTATGTTCCAGGGAAGGAGGTTGTTCTCTTGATGCAGGCCCTGAACTCCCTGGCCACTCCTGAAGAGAAACTGGCTGCTTTGTGCAAGAAATATGCAGACCTGGTAAAGTCAATATCTGCATTTGAAAGCCAGACTCTGATTCTAAGGCCACAAATATCGACCTGCTGCACCTTCAGGATAAAACTAGCCTAGTTCCAGGTCTCTAAATTCCTGCCCATACCTCAGATTTGTTCAGTGATTCAGTCCGTCTGGTGTTGGGCTCGTTGATGGCTGTTTCTTGGATTGGAGAAATAGTGAAGTCAAAAATGGGGTCATCATTATTCTGCATTGAACCTGACAAAATGGATACAAAAAGCATGGTTAAGATCCACACAGCTGTATGGGCTGTTGTGAATCAGCTTCCCAAAATAGCTGCTTTTAAATGCACACATTTCTTTACTCATTGGGACAAATGATATATTTTTCTTTACAATATAACCACTAGTGAGATAACAAAACAAAAATAAGTTTTCCTGTTTTGTATTAAAGGTCTCAGGCTTTAACTGGTTTCAAATTCAAGTGCATATTAGATGTACAATTAATTGCAGTTTGTCAAGCATGTTGTGCTTGTATTTAGCCAACAGCAATAAAAAAAAAAAAAAAAAGTTTGAACATAAGGTAATCCTTTTTGCTGTTGGCTGTGTGTTCAGCTGGAAGAGAGCCGCTGCATGCAGAAGCGACTGAAAGCTCTGCAGAAAAAGCAGTCTCAGATTGTGAAGGAGAAGATCCACCTGCAGGGCGAGCACAGCAAGGCCATCCTGGCCCGCAGCAAGCTGGAGAGCCTCTGTAGGGAGCTACAGAGACACAACAAGACGCTGAAGGTACACCTTAGCCTACTGTAACTGCACTCAACAGTGAATAGTCATCTTTTGTTTTGTTTTGATAATAACCAGCAGGTACACTGTTATACCGGTATTATAAAAATGTATTTTCAGGTAAGAAATTCACAATACACTTCCAGGTGTCAGGAAGGTGAACCTATCTTCACTCAGCGTGCCTCCACATAGCAATTTACTACTAATAGGATAAATGAACCACTGCAGTTAAATTTGTGCAATAACAGGGATGTTTCTTTAGTTCTTGTCACTGTCAACTTTGTGTTGGTCTTCTGCCTCCAGTTTGAGGGACCATTTTCAAGTTGACCTTTGTATTCATCTACCACCTGGCAGGAGGAGAATGCCCAGCGGTCAAGGGAGTACGACGAGCAGCGGAAGGAGGCCATGGTACACTTCCAGATGACCATGAATGATATTGAGATGCAGATGGAGCAGCACAGCTCCCGCAACACCAAGCTGAGGCAGGAGAACATGGAACTGGCCGATAAGCTCAAAAAGCTCATTGAGCAATATGAGCTCAGAGAGGAGGTACGATTGCGCTTGCCTTTCATTCTTGAGTTACCCATAGCCTATCCTGGCCAGTGCTAGCTATGGAACAGAGTACAAAAATGTTGAGCATTTACCCATATTTATGTGTGCAAATTAATAATTTTTCTCAGTGAAGTTAAGGTATTAACTTTAAATTTGGCATTGATTGGCTTGTGTGTCACTGCTGCTCCAGAGAAAAACTTAATCAAACCATGTCCAGCAAGTTCAAATAATGCCCAGCAGAGCAGGTGAGTTTACAGCAGCAGATAGAACAGTGAAGACATTGTGTTAATGTATGAGCCACTTTATAGTCTTTACTGAAAACTAATAATGTGACGGTGGGCTAGAAACTGGATTTTCATTTAAATTCTACCTTCTGTGCTAATTTAGTTTATTTTCATTGTAGAACTTGTATCTTGGAATAAAGTTGTAGATTCTTTAAACACTGGCCCATTATAGAAAACGGAGGACGGACAAAATGCAAAACTGTAATAACTGATTCTTAGAAAAGGAGTATCACTAATATCGCTAAAAGGTACTCTACCTAATTTCTTTTCATCTGCTGGAAGGTCTAGCGAGGCTCGAAACAGACTCGCATCAGAAACCACTTATCGCTCTTTGCTCCTCCTGCACTGTTTCCTAAAGCTTCAGTGTGAATTACGGATGCCTGGTTGTGAGAAATTGAACTAAAGGCAGCCTCCAGTCCAGAGCTAGGGTTAGCTGACGGAGTCACAGCTCTGTCGCAGCGTCCAGCAGCACAGTGTCGGGTGAAAAGGTTGACAGTTTAATCATTTATGATACATAGTTACATGTGGCTAATGTTTGTAGAGGGTGTGTTTACTTAATCTTGTCTGTTTTGATGTGGTCTGAGTTGAAGCTCTCCATTGCTGGCCACAAGTTTCTGCACAGCTCATAGACTTTTTATTGTGATGATGTCAAACATATAAAATAAAACTCACTGTGTTGGTCTCTGGGACGGTTTTACAAATATAAAACCTCCATAGATTAAAGATGCATAAGATTAAAAACCAAGCTTGTTAGCAGTTTGATGTGTCCTGCCAGCAGTTTCACAGACATCTCTTCTATTATTGTGGTGTGGTAAAAATGCCTTTTAGGCATTTACAATACCTCATGTGGCCACTCTGGAATGTTGGCAGCAAGGCTGAATGGTATTCCCATATTCATCTCTCTCAATACAGTCACGGTAAACACTGATGAAGTTTGTAACAAACTTCAAACTCTTTGTTAAAGCTATCTACCTAGTTTGTTTTTGTTAAAAACATAGATCATCTTAAAATAATTCAAGCAAAGATAAAATAATGGAGCTTCTAATTGTTCTGATCACTGCTGCTTGGCACACACCACTCACTTTCCAGCCAAATGGAAATGTCATGTGTCCGTCTTGCAGCACATAGACACGGTGTTCAAGCACAAGGAGCTGCAGCAGCAGCTGATGGACGCCAAGCTGCAGAGAATCACAGAGATGATGAAAGAAGTCGAGGAGAAGCAGCAGAGAGAGAGAGAGTTTGTGAGTACACCTTCAGTTCCTGTTCTAGTTTTCATTAAGATAGTGTGAGAGCATTAGAACTGAATGAACTGTGATGCCTCAGCTGCTGAAGGATGCCACAGAGTCCAGACGCAAGTGTGAACTGATGAAGGAGCAGGAAACACAGCTCAAACAGCAGGTAACTACACACACAGACTTCCCTGGCACTGCACTGACTTCAACATTGTAGTTTTTTTCTGAGACTATGGAAGCCTTGTGTTAACCTTCATGTACAGCACATCAGTTCAGCTGAAGTATTGAAACGGACTTCTCTCATCTCTCTTAGCTCTCCCTGTACATGGACAAGTTCGAAGAGTTTCAGAGCACTTTGGCTAAAAGCAACGAGGTCTTCACCACTTTCAGACAAGAGATGGAGAAGGTGAGAAACAGTGTTACTGTCAGTGACTGAATTTTTATTTATTTATTTATTTATTTTTTATCCCTACTTCACCTGTTTGTCTCACTGGTCGCCCTGCTAGCAGTTAACTGTTTGCATTTACCTCCAGATGACCAAGAAGATCAAGAAGCTGGAGAAGGAAACAACACAGTGGAGAACCAAATGGGAGAGTAACAACCAGGCCCTGCTGCAGATGGCTGAAGAGGTGACTTAATGAGCCATGTTCTTCTCCCTGCTTTTTTTTGGTTGGCATTGGTTAGACTTGGTATTAAAGTCTGTCTCAGTGATCTAAACATAAATGGACAGCTAAGACACATCACTGTTCACACATGCCTATATTCGTGCATCTCCAAGGTGCCCAGCTGACCACTTGTGTTCAGATTTCACAACTGCTCTGACACTTACCCTTAAGTATTGAACGTCCACGGGCACAAATATTACATCAGTCTGTTACCAGATAAGTGCCAGTAGTGAAGAAGAAGAGGACAAACATCAGTATTTGTACATGGATGTATTATGAAAGCTTTCACAATACACTGATTTCTATAGGATGTTTCTCTCCCTCTGTTTTTTTTTATGAACATTGACACACTCTTGCCAAAGCAACCTCCATGTCCTGCACTGATGATGAATTTTCCTCGAACAGCCTTGTCAGAGACTCATCAGGACGCGTTAACATGTACAGTACAGAGGATGTGTGGTCAAACATGTCCCAGGCCACTGTGGCAGTGGTTTCAGTGATCAGATCACAGTTTGTCCTGGTACTCATTTACACTTGTATTTAGCACTGTCAACTTGCAATCTAATGGCCCAGGACATATTTTAAAATTGTGTGTCATTCTAGACATGGTTAGCCTATGGGGCAACAGCAAGCCTGGCTCTGTCTGTGGTTGAAAAAAAAACACTGAATTAAGTTTAATTGTTCACCCACAACTGTAAAAACAATACAGTTTAAGGAGAGTTGTATGCTGGGACACAGATGCACTTTGTTACGACTGCTTGTGACCAGCTACAACAATAAAATGCTGTTTTACGCAGCAGGGCATCAGTAATAATGCTTCAGTACTGCATAATGTCTGCACTTACATTTCTTACTTAAATTGGTTCATTTTCTTAATGTTACTGTACTTAAAGCTGCTACGCCTAATTCCTTTTCAAGTCGTCAGAGCCCTTAAGAATCAAAACAAATAGACACCATAATCTACTGCTGACCGCTCCATCCCCCTCCCATCCTGTTTCAGTGGCAACCTAAATTATGGATACATGGTCATGACAAAGTGTACAAAAGGCAACCTCCAGTCAGGGTGTCCATGGGTTATTGAAAGGTAATAAATCAATTAAGCAAAAATTAAGGCTATTAAGAGTCTTAATCCAGATTTTAAATCTTGTCACCATTTTTCCTGTGAATAGTCCATAAAATAAAAGTCAGTGTGAATTTATTTATTTATATTGCATAGCTTGTGGAATTCCTCACAGGCATGATGTCATTCACCTGTGCCCTAGGAAATCCAGGCTAAATTTAACATCTGAAACAGGCCATGGACTGCTTTCAACATGGATCTCAGTAATACTGTTATACTGACTTTACAGAAACTAACAAAGGTAACAGGGAAATGCAAATTTTTGGACAAGTTGTTGGAGGACACTGAATTTGAACCATGGCCCATTACTGGGAACAACTAGCAGGCTGGTGTTAGCATGGTCTTGGTTTATGCAGACTGTTTATCATGGATTTCCGTGCTAAACTGGCTACAACAGTGACGGGAACATCCTGATATGGGGTTGTTTGACCTAGGAGGGTCCTAGGTCTATATTACTGGCTGTATTAATTACTACTGTATTAATGGCTGAGTTGCCATTCACTGCCATAGAGCCACACACGTCCAGTAGCATGCTGGCAATGTGATTCCCAAAGTTTTGTGTAAAAATGTTGTATGGCATGCAATGACCACAGTGAGTGAGAACAAGTTTGTTACTGTTATTATTTTTGATAAATCTTGCCTTTGGGTTTGTCACTCATTTTATTCTCTTGAGCTTTTGTCCCTCCTAGCCAGTCTGATTTCTGTTGTATTGATACAGTGGTCAACAGAAGTTATCACAAACCACTTATTTTGGATGCATAGTAACAAAAAAAACAAAACAAAAAAAAAAGTTAGAGCTGTGTTGCTGATATAACTAGTTATAATATGAAGTTGCATTGACGTTTAAAGTTTTTGAAAAGGGTCTTATGATTCCTGCATACAGTATTGTTCAAAATAATAGCAGTACAATGTGACTAACCAGAATAATCCAGGTTTTTAGTATATTTTTTATTGCTACATGGCAAACAAGTTACCAGTAGGTGCAGTAGATTCTCAGAAAGCAAACAAGACCCAGCATTCATGATATGCACGCTCTTAAGGCTGTGCAATTGGGCAATTAGTTGAAAGGGGTGTGTTAAAAAAATAGCAGTGTGGCATTCAATCAGTGAGGTCATCAATTTTGTGAAATAACAGGTGTGAATCAGGTGGCCCCTATTTAAGGATGAAGCCAGCACTTGTTGAACATGCATTTGAAAGCCTGAGGAAAATGGGTCGTTCAAGACATTGTTCAGAAGAACAGCGTACTTTGATTAAAAAGTTGATTGGAGAGGGGAAAACCTATAAAGAGGTGCAAAAAATTATAGGCTGTTCAGCTAAAATGATCTCCAATGCCTTAAAATGGAGAGCAAAACCAGAGAGACGTGGAAGAAAACGGAAGACAACCATCAAAATGGATCGAAGAATAACCAGAATGGCAAAGGCCCAGCCAATGATCAGCTCCAGGATGATCAAAGACAGTCTGGAGTTACCTGTAAGTACTGTGACAGTTAGAAGACGTCTGTGTGAAGCTAATCTATTTTCAAGAATCCCCCGCAAAGTCCCTCTGTTAAAAAAAAGGTACGTGCAGAAGAGGTTACAATTTGCCAAAGAACACGTCAACTGGCCTAAAGAGAAATGGAGGAACATTTTGTGGACTGATGAGAGTAAAATTGTTCTTTTTGGGTCCAAGGGCTACAGACAGTTTGTGAGACGACCCCCAAACTCTGAATTCAAGCCACAGTACACAGTGAAGACAGTGAAGCATGGTGGTGCAAGCATGATGCTATGGGCATGTTTCTCCTACTATGGTGTTGGGCCTATTTATCGCATACCAGGGCTCATGGATCAGTTTGCATATGTCAAAATACTTGAAGAGGTCATGTTGCCTTATGCTGAAGAGGACATGCCCTTGAAATGGTTGTTTCAACAAGACAATGACCCCAAACACACTAGTAAACGAGCAAAGTGTTGGTTCCAAACCAACAAAATTAATGTTATGGAGTGGCCAGCCCAATCCCCGGACCTTAATCCAATCGAGAACTTGTGGGGTGATATCAAAAATGCTGTTTCTGAAGCAAAACCAAGAAATGTAAATGAATTGTGGAATGTTGTTAAAGAATCATGGAGTGGAATAACAGCTGAAAGGTGCCACAAGTTGGTTGACTCCATGCCACACAGATGTGAAGCAGTTATAAAAAACTGTGGTCATACAACTAAATATTAGTTTAGTGATTCACAGGATTGCTAAATCCTAGAAACAAAAACGTTTGTACAACATAGTTTTGTGTTTGTACAGTCAACGGCAGACACTGCTATTTTTTTGAACACACCCCTTTCAACTAATTGCCCAATTGCACAGCCTTAAGAGCGTGCATATCATGAATGCTGGGTCTTGTTTGCTTTCTGAGAATCTGCACCTACTGGTAACTTGTTTGCCATGTAGCAATAAAAAAATATACTAAAAACCTGGATTATTCTGGTTAGTCACATTGTACTGCTATTATTTTGAACAATACTGTATAACCTGGGTTAGCGTTAGCTGACTAACAAATACATTTGGCAATTCATTAAAAGGCTCTGGTTCCTGCTAACGCTGCACTAACATTACACAAAGTCGGAATTATTCCCAAATTACTATCATCATTGAATACAAAGGTAAAATCATGACCATGCTAATGTCCTTCGGCTGTTTTTAACACTCTCAAAAAGCCAAACTGATGTTAACCCTGGTTTTCACGCTTTCCTTGTGCCGCTCTTTGTGTAAAAGAACACAACCTCTTTGGTCTGGCAGCCACTGTTTTGGACTGTAGCTGCTGAGAGGTCCTTTGTAGATGGCTCTTAAAAATGATTAAATGGCAGTGTCAGTCAGTCTGTCCAGTGAATTTAGTTTGAGACATTGATATCCTCCTGAGGGCGATCTTTTCTTGTCTCAGTTGATGAAGTACATCAATAAAACCATCGGATACAGGCAAACTTTCAACTTGTGCAGCTGTTGCTGAGTCAGTCTGCACCGCCTTAAGTGAGTTAACATGCAACTGTGTCTCGACTTAGTGATTGTGCCACCTTAGAAATGTGCTCTGCTTTTTCTCATAACACAGTTGCTCTCGGTCAGTCTGCTGTTGAGGCTGATTCTGAGGAGGGGGTTTGGAACAATTAGACACAGTAATGATTTGCTGTTAAAACACAGTAACATGCTGTCAGCTCTGATTTTTGTTCAGCATTTGTGTTTTCAAAGTTTTTTTGTTTATAAAAGGGAATCCAGTGCTGTTCTCTGTCCTTTAAACAGTTTGACATGATAAATCTTCATTCAAGATCCACTTTACTCGCTTTTTCCAGGGTTTTGAGTCTCAGGAATAAGAGATGTGGTTGTAAACTCTGGCAAAACAAACATAAGGTCCATTTACTACTGTTCTTTCTAAGGGGGAAAATTACGGTTTGTGCTAATGAAATATCATGTGTTTTAGAAAACCCTGCGTGATGGCCACTTCAAGGCCCTACAGGGGAAGCTGGAGCTGCTGGAGAGGCTGTGCAGGGCACTGCAGAAGGAGAGGAACGACCTCAACAACCAGCTCAGTCTCCTCCATGAGCAGGGAGACGGAGAGACTGCAGCACCTCCTGACGACCAACCACCGGAATCTTCAGCTGGGGAGGAAGACGAGGAGCAAGGGAAGGAAGAAGTCGGGGGCTCAGCAAAGGGCAGTGGACAGGAGACGGAGGACATCCACCAAGCTCCCAGACCACCTGAACTGGACCCCACATCGGCTGCTACTGACAGAAGCACTACTGCCACGATGCCAGCCAGCCAGCCTGCAGGAACACCGATCACACAGCAGGACTGAGTGAAGCTGCACGGCCTGTGTGAAGGTGAGAAGGGTGTGTTAGCCGGGCTCCACACACCTCCGCCCTAGTTCCAGAACTAGCCAGACTATCTTCAGTGGAGAGAGTTTATTTCTTTTTTTAAGTCTCTACACAGAAACTGCGCCTATATCTTTTCTTGTGATAGTTTAAGAATAGAATGTATCAGACATTGCAGATTTTCCCACGTTTACATTGGTTGTAATAATTGGTGGTGGTGAGCACTTGATACTTCGTTTTCTACCACAAGTGTATTTTCTTAGGAAACTTCCATTCAGTCAAATTGGCCTTTTATTTCTCTCCTTACATGGCCCCTATAGTGTCACGTGTCTCAGTGGAAATTATAGTTTGATGGAAAATGTGAGCAACGCATGCATTTTGTTGCAAGTCGGTTTTAATTAATGCAGCCTTACAGTCATAATGGGATCTGAGAACCTGGAAGAAGAAAAGAGACGTAGCATTGAGCAGTTTGGCCCCAGCCTATTCATTATTTTTAATCATATCTTGCTTTGCCATGGATAAGTGTAGTTTTTATTATTCTCGACCTGACAGGAAAGTGTCAGCAGAACGAATCTGCACGTCCTTGTAACACAGGTGGTGCTGGGTCGAAGCTTGGGTACAGAGTGGCTGCTCGTGGGACAGCTGGTGAGATGTTGCCAGTTAGCAAGCTAGCATGTTGTTTCAAAATGGGGATGATGGCATCTCTCCCTCAAGATGTTCAGTGTTGCATTCAGTTGAAAAAGTGATGTAGCTGGTAACAAATGTAAAAAGCGAGCTGGAGAGACCCTGGAACAGCTGACTAATGCGCTGCACGGTAGCTGTGACTGTCAGCTTCAAAAAGCTATAGACATGGTCAGACACCGGTATGGACGACATTCCTTCTGGAAAGTAGTTTAGGATGCGTCTGTTGGTTCAGATTAACTCAAATAAATACCCTGAGACAGCCCTACTGCCTACTCTGGTTGCTAATTGGACAAAGATTATTCAAAACATATATCATGGACTCCACCTAGCTTCTTTAGCAGAGCAGCTTATAAAATTAATATGATGGGTTCCTTCATCTTTGGACTGGTTCTGTTTTGCTTTTATAATTCCTCATCACTTTGACCAAAACCATCCTAAAAAATGGACGCCTCTTTCTTCAGAGTTGATCTTAGGCAGCAGGTAACTTATAGCTCTGCCAGCTCACCACAAGATTTCCCTCAGCCTGCCTGTTAGACATCTGCAACCTAGAGTAGAAGCTCTAACGGGAGACTACAACCACTAATTGTAGCCAGAGGAGCCTAGGTTGACCCACTGACTGCTGGGTACTTGCTCCCAAATAGTCTACATGTTCTCTTTTTGCTTTTCTGAGTCATGGAGCTGACTAATGTGGTAGAAGAACTAAATGCAAATGACAGAGTTTTAGTCACGCTTAAGTTGATGGTGAATCACCAGACTTGAGTCCTGGGATGGTTGCAGTTTTCTCTGACGCTCCATTGTCTTTAAATTTCTAAGCCTTGAGATCATTGTCAATCAAAACTCGTTTTTGTTGCTCTGCTCTGACTGGAATATTCCCAGCACCAACCGATCAGTGGACCTGCGTTCTGTCATTTGGAATGATAGGAAAATAATGGCCTATCATAGTATTACAAAGAGTTTTTTTTTTTGATTAGACTGGGGACCCTGGGTGACATGTTACTGCAATATTATGACTTTACTCTCAGAATATTATATTTCAGTCTTGAATGATACAGCCAAGACATTTAACATCTTATTGCTCACTAGTTTTCCCTTTCAGAGACAACTAAAATGATGATGCTTGGTGAATGTCCATGTGCTAAATGTGTCATGTCACTTGATTAAAATCTGCATCTGCGCTATCAAGCTTTTGTTTTTCATGGACTATGTAATTTGATTTCCATGTGGTCAGCCCACCAGATGAAAGCCACGTCAGGATTTCTCCACTGAGAAATTTATGTAAATTATTTTTGACAGATGACAAACATTTGATTACATTGGAATGGGCTTTGTCATCTTTGAAAATTTATACTGAAATAGTTGAATGTGATTCACTTTTCTAATGTATTTGAATAAACAGATTTCAATCAGCGATGCATATTAATACAGGAGCTGTTAACAAGAGTCGGTTCTTGTTAAATGCCCTGATATAAAGGTAGAAATCTGTTGTCAACAGGGTCAAATCAAATTCTGGGTCTTGCCTCAAGTTGTGGGAAAGTTTTGGTGAAATTCATCACTTCTGTTTTGGGGTATAAAGAAAAGAATCCTCTCAAATCAGTCAGTTCACACAAACTCATCCTCTGCATATTGCACTTATTCTGTTTTCTTTGATGGTAACTTTAACCCTGCCCACTTCGTTACTCCATTAGCATCAGTGCAGTCAGTGTTCTGTACCAGGCCACATATCAGGACTATAGCACTTAAAATTGTGATGCACGGTGGTTTGCTAACCTCCCACAACTTCATTGACATCCTTATTTGGGATCCTAGTATTTTATGGGTATAATTACTTGTCCAAGATCAGCATTTTTGGCAACCTTGTTTTTTCTTTGGGATAAGTGATGAAGAAAATCGTGTTAAGTCAAAGTACAGTAGAGGATGATTCCTATAGCACTGTTCAGCCTGTTATTCAGGATCACCAGCCTGTTCTGGAGTAACATCTGTCCTGGAACTGACTGACTTACACATAGTGTGGATTTAAAACCTAAACTGATGTGCGGCCATGTAGAGGGCAGTTCTCATCATGTCCCAAGTTGAGGGAAGACTTTTCAGTAACAGTTTCCTTTTTCTTTGCCGTTGCCCCAGACTGACTCTCAGGTAATGTCAGTATCTACCTCTGCATGAGAGACTGTGAAAGAAGAGGCACAAGTCACCATAGATTCAGAGCTTTATTTTTTACTGGAAAAAAAGATAAGCCCATGCCCCTCTCTGATTGTACAATGTTCTTATAGTCCTGTCTTGCTTTTCAATAAACATTTTGTAGAATTTGCAGCAACTATGTATTCATTTCCTCAATCTTGTTTTTGGGTCTCGTTTCCTGAGTGTGAGAATGGTGTGGAGAGGAGGTGTCACCTGTATGTTTAGCATTTGAATATTAGCAAAATGAACATTAAGACTGCAGCCAGTCCTCAGCCTAGGGCTTGTCTAAAGACAAAGTTTACATAAATGAGAAACATTCTGAAAAGTTACTTACATAGGGTTTATTGCAGTCTGTGAAACAAGAATTGTGATACCAATTGTCCAATTGCAGTCTCAGAAACAAAAGATGGTAACTGTCACATTATGCAACAAGTTCACTAACTCTCAGACCTTTCACTCAAGCCAAATACTGAAGAGTTAATGTACCTTAAGGCAAACACAGCAGGGAATGTTTCTTAAAAGGACAGCTGTGATATTTTAGCTAAGTACACTACTGTCAGCAACATAAGAGCCACAAGTGTTTAACAGGTGGAAAATATGAGTGATGAGAGAACGCTTCCCTGGACGTGACCAGCAAAGTTGGCTTTTTACAGCCACACAGTTCAGAGGGATGTAGATCAGGTTTCCCAAAAGCATTTCCATGCCTACATAATCTACTGTCCAAGTTAGATTCCATATTTACATCTTCAGAGAAGCCTGTTATTTTGTGGTTTCCTGACTGCTCACAAGTGTAAAATTAACCAGTGTTTTCCTTGTATGAGTCATTTGAAATAAACTAGTCTTTAATAACTTGCAGTGACTTTATGAACATTCAGGCGGTCTGTTCTTAGAATCTAAAATACCAATTCCCCAAATTCTGGAGGTACTGCCACCTGAGCAGCTACAGCATTTCAAATCTTATCCTGGTCCAAGTGCTTGTGCTTCTCGGAACCTTGGCCATAGTGAGTGAGTGAGTGAGGTGATGCTAAGTCCAACCGTCTGTTAGCAAGGGTGAAGTCTATGCTATCTGTAATGTTCCACACTGCTCCTTCACGTGGTGAGAAGACTTTCCATTTTGCCCTTGAGATTAGCTAGAAGAAATGACAGGCCAGGCTGGGAAAGGAGGAGGGTTTGTGCCTGGAGAGAAAGACTCATGCAGAGCTGGATTATGATCCCTGAGCCTCCAGCTCTGATGCCGGGGTGCTGTCTGGCTCCTCATCGTTGTAGATGTTCTCTGCCTAGAAGAACAAACAGGAGAATTGGTGATACTAATGTACATGCTCAGTTCTTTGCCAGCCAAAACTGTCTCAAACTTTTAACAGAATAGTTGGGGATTTATCAAGTTGGTGTTAAAACAGTACTAATATGTGTGAGAATAGGTCTCAGTCATTGTCACTTCTCCTACTCTCCACTCTGACCCTGAATGTTTTTACCTGGAACACAACTACACTGCAAAAAATTAAGGGCAAACTACACAAGTTTTATTCTATGCAGAAACTCACTCCACAGTTCGTCTGAGGCTCAAATGCAGCTCCAGCTGTCCCACTAAGCTAATTCGAGTCAGTCTCTATTTAAAACAAATGTCCCTGGACAGCACCTTGTTGGGTGTTGTTGAGCTACTATTCCTTTAAGTCAGTGGACCTCAAAGTGTGGGGCGTGCCCCACTAGTGGGGAATAAAGACATGACAGGTGGGGTGCAATGAACTGAAAAAATTAGAAATGGGTCATTAATACAAGTAAATTAAAATAACATCAGTTTGGGGCCCGGGAGAAAAAAGTGGAACCATAGTGCAACAATAATGGTTTAATGTCGGCATGTTAACTGCCGCGCAACAATATAAGGAAATGTTCACACAGAGGGCCAATACGTACGTAGTAGGCACAATAACGTAAATGGATAAATTTGTTACATGGACCACAAAGAAAGTAGGCAATTCAGCACAAGCAGACAAAGAAACAACAGGCAGTAAGTCTTATCAACCAAAACGCCAGCTGAAAAGAAAATATGATGACGCCTATCTTGCGCTTGGATTCATGGTGGGAATCGTGGGGGCAGAGGACAGACCCATGTGTGTCTTGTGTATTAAACCGCTGGCAGCAGACAGCATGAGACCCAACAAATTAAGACATTTAGAGACAGCACACCCCGGTGTGTTAATAAGCCACTCAACTTCTTTAAAAGAAAGCTGGCAGAATAATGTCAGCAGGGAACTCGCATGGTAAAATCTGCATCAGTGAATAGCAAAGCACAAATGGGTTCCTTCAAAGTTGCATACAGAATTGCACAGTGCAAAAAATCCCACACAATTGCTGAGCAGATCATTCTCCCTGCTGCTGTAGACATGGTGTCGATTATGCCGGATGAGACGAGTGCTGCAAAATTGAAAACTATCCCTCTGTCAAACGATACAGTTGCATTTATATTTTATGTTTTGAACTTGGTGTTATTTGATATTTCAATACATCTGAAATTTAAAAATTGGCCGATTTCATTTTTTTTTTTTTTTATGACAAGTGGGGCTTGAAAATTCACCCACCCTCTTAAGTGGGGAATGACAAAAAATGTTTGAGAATCACTTCTTTAAGTAGTGGGAAAAGAGCAAGAAAGGCAGCAGACAGTTCTGTAACAACACCGACTTGCAGACAGCATTCAGACAGTTAATTAACTCTGTGTTAGGAACTGGCCTGACAAGAATCGTAACAGTACTGTGAAAATATTAATGTTGTACAAAATTCTGCAAATTCTCAGCTACCTCTGCAGCAGAGAAGCCTGGGACTTATTTTGAACTTCCCCCGTTCCTCAGGTAATACAAACCAAGCCTTTCTCCATGTTTTCCTGCTATCTTAACACGGCACTCATTCAGCAGTCCAGCAGGACTCACTCCGATGTTCCACTTTATTTTCCTTGAAAAAGCTAATGTGTGTCAATACTCACCACTTCCTCCACAACTTCACACTGAAGGCCTTGTAGCCTTCCTTCTGTAAATAGGCATTTAATGTAAAAATTGTCTTGTTGATAGTAACATCAACTGGGAGTAAGGACCAATTAATAAGAGCATGGAAACATTTCGGTTAAAGAAAGGAGAGGTCGGAGATGCAGACTGGATCGGAACATGACTGTGGAAATACTTAGGCTGACTTTACCATGCGAGTTGTTGTTGGCTACATGTCATGTAGCCCATCAGTGTTTGTTTTTAAACCAGGCTTTATTCATGCAGACATTATTTCAATACTTGCCTTAAACTGATAATTCAGTCTTAAATTGAATTTTCTAAAAATGTCTCAGTACCTTCAAAATAATGGAATTCACTCTGTCTTTTGTTTAAAATTTTATCACCTTGCTTTTTTCCAACAAAACGAGCATACTTCTCAGTAAAAGCCTGGAAAAGCATATCACAAGAAACCGACCATTTGGTGATGCCAGTAAGTCTAGTGCATGACTAGCAAGTCAAGTGGACCATCCCTCATCAAAGAATGGAGACTCACAAGGTTAACCCTGTCGAAGGTCCGATGTTCTACCAGGTTTGATGGTAGGAAAAAATGCAAACTGCACGAGGAGGGACTGGAGCCATCATACTCAGACAATCCTGGCAAAAAAAACCAAACAAAACAATGTGTGGGTGATGGACAGAAGCTGTATTCACCATCTGCCAGACTTGCATGATGTTGTCCTCTGACACTGAGCAGATGATCCAGGGTTCATTGGGGTTCCAGGAGAAGTCGGAGATCTTGGCTGTATGGCCACCATGGATGAACTGAGGGAAATGACAGACAGGCGACTGAATAACATCCAGTGATAAACAGGCAAGATGGATTTGTAATCAGATATGTCATACCAGGAGTGGAACAGGTCAAGTAAAAATTCCGAGGCATTGGGTTCACTAGACGTGGTTCGGAGAATGTCTGTATTTTAGGGCTGCATTGGCATGAATCACAATACAGGGGCTGCGATTCAATATACCGTGATACTGTAAACAAGGTGATATTTTGCATCTAAAAATGCTTACACAGTCTTAACAGATACCAGTAAAAAGTTTGTAAAACAAAATGACTAGGAATTTGATGTAAAGAGGTGTCTCTAGAGAAACACTAAACGCACCAGAAGGGGGGGGGGGGGAACTTAAAAAAAAAACACGCGGCTTTGTCAATGGACACATTTAATAGAATGGAATTATGATGCATAGCGTGCATAAAAACGTGTCTATAATCATGGATAAAATCATTTTACCTTGCTGTCCTGGGTAAATCTATAGGGAATGAAACAGTTTTCTCTGCAGCAGCGCAGTGTGTGTTTGGTTTGGATTGCTGTAGATTCATAGATCTTGGCCTGTATTTACCAAGCATCTCAGAGTAGGAAATTACTCCCAACTGGCCAAAAATCTCAGAATATTGCATTTTCAGTCCTACGTTTAGGTGTGGATGTAAGAGTAATTTATCAATATTCCTATCTTATGTTGGTCTGGGGGATATCTTGTTGTCATGTACGATACGGCCATGTTGTGATGAGTGGACATGAGTGGCTGCATTCACATTTCCAGGCCATGAGTTTCCATTGTGTTTTGGTTAGCCAACAACTTATTATATTATTCTAACTTATTCACTGAACCCTGTGCTGTCCACTGTGTGGGGGCAGCTGGGGCTCAGGAAGTTGAGCAGGTCGTCTCCTAACCGAAAGTGTTAACTATTGATGATGCTGGACTGTATGACTTCGATTTCCACTGGGATATCCCATCCATATAACCACTCCAGTCAAAGAGCAAGGACACCTTTATTTATTTTTTCCTTTGGTCTGGTTTTCTGTGAACAAGGAACATACGGGATAAACACAATGGTGCACTAGCTTAGCCTAGCTAGCCTCCAACTAACGTGTGCTAACGTAACAATTATATGAAACTTAAACATATAAATACATCTTTCGTCGTAAATGTCCACGCACAAATTTACATAACGATAGACTAATTTACGACCACTAACGGGTCGTTCACTCACCGTCGTCATGAACGCAGACTTAGGATTAACCCATGACACTAGGATTTCCCTTTTCACCAGTTCCCTCAGTTCCCTGGTGTAGGCTTTGTGTAGATTCAATGCATAACCGTAAATCAAGTTTTAGGAGTAGGATTTCTCTTTGCTGAGAAGTGAGAGTAGGATGCTTCATAAATCATTTTTAAGTTCTCCTCTGAAGTAGGACTTTCTTTAGTCCTGAGGTTTCAGCATGCTTCCTAGGAGTGGTATTGAGATGCTTGTCTTGTGCTTGAGAATGTGAACAAACCCAGCTTCTTGCAGAGGAACATGAAAACTGTGTGTTTGGTTTGCTGCATTTTATGCTGACAGTGAAGACGTGTTTATGTTCCAGAATTTTTAGGCAAACACATTATAACTTTTTTTTGCCAAATAAAGAGCATGTCAATTTTGGCAGTGCCCTCCCCCCTGCTTTACCTAAAACGCATCGAAGCAAACCAAAATACCCATAACTTTTATGAACTGTTCCACCCTTAGTTCATACCCTACAAAGTAGCATAAGCTATTTGACCAACCAGTTAATGTGATATATTTGTCAAATGGACACATGCAGCCAGACAAACCTGATCAACACTTCATTCATCCTACATGTGTTGCTTTGTGTGTTAGTGTAGAATGATTTTATGGCTGTTGACATAAGAACTACATGGTGACTAAAAGATCTAAAGGGGAATTTGAATAAAATCACTCAGTAATCTTAATTTGAGGACTTTACATACGAGCAGCTCTGGTGGGCCGTCCTCTGCATCTTCTGCAGATTGCTCCTCTCCAATTTTACTGGAATGAGAAAATCCCACAAAAATCCATTAACACAGTTGCTCTTCAGGTTACCAAATGTCAAGTGTAATGTTTCTACTTTAAAAACATGATGTAGCACACTGTGTGGGTAGTGGCCAACCATTCTTAAAGTTGTTTCATTTTAATCAATGTCATTTAACAGTGGCTTCAGAAAGTATTCAGATCCCTTCACTTTTTGCCAAATAACTGAAATTGAACTGAATAAGATGCACACCTATCTACACTCAAAAACTCATAATAACAGTGGAAATGTTTGTAGAAGTGTCTATTAAAAACCAAATGCCTGAAATCTCTCATTTACCAAAATATTCACACTATTAATTCGGTTCTTGGTAGCAGCCCCTTCGACAGCAGTTATAGCTTCCAGTCTTCTTCGATACAGCTCCACCAACTTTGCACACCTGGATTTGGGCAGTTTTTCTCAGTCTTCCTGTCAGATCATCTGAAGCTCTGTCAGACCGGATGGGAGGTGTCTGAACTGCCATCTTCATGTCTCACCACAGATGTTCAGTAGGGTTTAAGTCTGGACTGTGACTCGGCCACTCAGGGACAGTCAGACACTTGTCCTGAAGCCACTCCACTGTTGTTGCCTTGGTTGTATGTATCTCCGTTCTGGTGAAAGGGGGACTGTCACCTCAGTCCAAATTTGCATGCATTCTGGAGGAAGTTTTTCTTCAAAGATGCTCCTGTATTTGACTGCATTCACCCTTCCCTCAGTTCTGTCCTTGCTGCATGGCTGGGTTTTTATCCTGACATGCAGTGTGAATTGTGAGACCTTAACAATTCATTTTGCCACAGGTGATCTCCAGGCAGGTTCCAGACACATCTCAAGGATAACAGAAGCAACCAGGATGCATCTGACTACAGTGCCACAGCAAAGGGCCTCAATACAATATTCACACCATATAGACTAAAATAAATAAGAAAAAAACATTAATAAGAAATGCCCAGTTTGCTCCTAGATGAATCTTCCTCATATCACACTTAGGCATGTTTGGTATTCTTAACTACTCAACAAGTCGGACTGCTGAACGAGTTTGTATTAGACATGGCAGCCATGAACTTTCCTTGTTTCACACAGTTCCTTTTCTTTTTTGTTACTTATGTTTTTATCATGTTTTATGCAGACTGTGTTTGCTATATAATTCTCACATGAACATATTTTGCTAAAATCTCCTGAACAAACAATAGCCATCACCCTTTCATGTTATGGTATAGATTATGATGTATTGTGGACAGTTTTTACCTGAGGTCCCAGACATTAAGACGCCGGTCAGTGCCGCTGGAAGCCAGGATGGTCTCATTGTGAGGAGACCATTGTACCTAATGAAAGGGACAGTGGGACACTGGCAGGTCAATGGAACATTTAGCCACATGAAATCAGAGGTTTGGTAGCACCTCAGAAAACTATTTCAGTTTATATTAAAACATGAGAATCTAGGATTCACACCTTGTGGCTATAAGCCTCCGCCAACTGGTCAAGTTGAAGTTTACCTCCCAGTCTGTCCAGACTCATAATATATGTGGTAAAGACTTTGAAGGCATTTAATAAAAGATATTGAGTATTTAATTTCAAGAAATCCCCTCAAGGTGTTTCTGAGAATAGGACAGATGTGAGGATACCTTTGACCTTTTATCACCAAAATCTAATCATTTGTGCCAAATTTGAAGACCTCCCTTTGATGCATTCCTGAGATATCACCTTTACGAGAATGCGACAAACAACCCAAAAACATAACACCTTCGGTCACGCCTGTCACTGGTGCAGCGACACATGACAAATGACTCACACAAGGATATATTCTCTGCACTATACTACTTGTGCATTTCCTTCACATACTTTCCCAGAGGGCCAACAACAGCTTGTGGAACTACGCCTAAATTTGAACCACAGCAACCAGGGATGAAATGTAGTCTCTCTGAGGGGTAGTATTTTCCAAAGGTATTATAACTGGGGCTGCAATAACTCATCAATCAAATTGATAAAAATCAATAACAAAAATAGTTGGCAACAAATTTAATTATTGATTAGTTAGGACTAGTAACGTACAGATGACTGGGTAAGAGACTGGATGACTACGTCAGTGAGATGTAGCAAAATGTCTGAGAAACAGCGGAAGTGGTGGACAGTAGTAAGTATAGCTACAGTAGAGAAAAATGGACGACAAATCATCTAAAGTTTGGGAGCACTTGATTTTACAACCAGAAAGAAGACTTTCCAGTGCAAAGAAAAATGTATCTGTTGTGGCAGGGGAGCATGATGCTAATGCATTAGCACCTAAAGAAAAGACACATTGGACATACAGAAGAAGGGGGGTCTGGAGCTAAGTAAGTCGTTAATTTTAGTTAATGTAAGAAATTATGAAACGACAATGATGATGTAACCGGTTTTAAGAAATGGGGTTACATTGTTATGTATATTATGATGCTAATTATATATTTAGGAACATAACGGTGGGTTGTGTAGGCTACTAACCCATGATAAATGCATTCATGTAAACATGAAACATGTAAACACCCAAGCATTACACCAATCAGAGCCAGAAAACCATGCGATTTTATTGTTGTGGTGGACAGGGGTCAGCAGAAACACTCTGAACCATCCACAGCTATGCAGCAACATGTGACTATTGTTTGTGCTGATCATGGCCACCATGAAAATTTTCCCATGTTGCACCTGTCCACCACAACATTAGACCACCTGGTGGATTAAATGTTGTCTGATTTTATGTTGTTAAATGAACATTCCCATTGGCCTGCCAGTTACATCGCTGTAACCAAGATACACAACTTGTATGAAAACCAGAAAGCTAAAGTGGAGGAGGCGTTGGGAAAGAAACACGGTTGCCCTCACCAGAGACTACTGGATATCTCTCAGTAATCATAGCTACCTCAGGGTCCCTATGAGGTACATTTAGAACCAGTGGTGGAAGAATTAGTCAGATCCTTTACTTAAGTAAAAGTAGCAATACAACAGTGTAGAAATACTACTAAAAGTCCTGCATTCAAAATGTTACTTAAGTAGAAAAGTATTAGCATCAGAACATACTTAAAGTACTAAAAGTAAAAGTACAATACAGTTAAGGAGGATTAAGGCCAGGAAGGCCACAGGCCCTGACCACATCAGCCCCAAGGTCCTCAGGGAGTGTGCAGACCAGCTCAGTGAAGTGGTCCTGTACATGTTTAATCTGAGTCTTAGCCTGGAGAGAGTTCCGATTCTGTGGAAGACATCCTGTGTGGTCCCAGTTCCTAAAATAACTCATCCCAAGGAGCCAAACCATTACAGACCCGTTGCCCTGACCTCCCACCTGATGAAGACCATGGAGAGGATTGTCCTCGGCCACCTCCGTGCCCAAGTGAGCTCAGCGCTGGACCCGCTGCAGTTTGCGCATCGACCTGGCATCAGGGTTGATGACACCATTATCTACATGCTGCATCGAGCCCTAACTCACCTGAAGACCCCCGGAAGTATTGTGAGGGTCATGTTATTTGACTTCTCCAGTGCTTTCAACACAATCCAGCCGTCACTGCTGAGGGGGGAAGTTGGAGGGGGCGGGTGTGGATCATTAACTACCCCACAAACAGACCCCAGTTCGTAAGGCTGCGGGACTGCGTGTCGGACGTGGTAGTCTGCAGCATGGGGGCACCACAGGGGACGGTGCTTTCCCCCTTTCTGTTCACCCTCTACACGTCAGACTTCAAGTACAACTCCCAACAGTGTCATCTACAAAAGTTCTCAGACGACACTGCTATTGTTGGATGTGCATCTGGGGGGGATGAGGAGGAATACAGGGGGGTTGTTACTGACTTTGTGGAGTGGTGTGAGGAAAATCACCTGGTCCTGAACACCAGCAAGACAAAAGAAATGGTGATTGACCCCCAGCGGAAATCACCAGCACTCACCCCGGTGAGCTTTCAGGGCTCAGATATTGAGATTGTGGACACCTTTAAAT